ATGACAATACATGTACATGTATAACTATAACCCCACCTCACCGGTACCTTGGACTTGTGAACATGTTGACGCCGGTCAGTTTGTCCAATATGTGTCGTCACAGACACACACTCACTCACACACACACTCACTCACACACACACACAGACTCCAACATCTTCCAGTCAGGAACAAACTCGCCAAAGTCCACGAAGGTTAGCACAAGGTTGCAAACTTTATTATTTATCGTCAATGGCACAAGAAACAGAATCACAATCGAGTTTAGAGAGGGGTTACCCTTGTATGACGTCACGGCTACCCTTGTATGACGTCACGGCTACCCTTTCCTTACCCTTCACGGAGACTGGGGAGTATTGTATGACGTCACGGCTACCCTTCACAGAGACTGGGGAGTATTGTATGACGCCACACACACACAGTGATGACGACACGTCTGCTCTGACGTCAGTGAACAACACAGACACTTGTGCCGTTTGTACAATGAGACAGGGGAGGTCACAAAGGTTATAGATCTACACACACCTAGCACAAGATTCTAGTTCTCACCTCTGTGTCACACAGGTGATGTTATAGATCTACAGACATGAGGTACCAGACTCTAGTTCTCACCTCTGTGTGGGAGAGGCAAAGACCTGAGTGTGGTCACCAGTCAAACATTTGTGGAAAAGATAACGAGGGAGTTTCCTAAACTGTACTCTCTCCAACAGAAAACATTGTTGTGCTGACTGGGGATGTTTGAAAACGGTTGGTTTTCTTGGGAACAATATTCGGGGGGTGGGGGGGGGGTTCTGTAAAATTGTAAATACAGCATATTATACCTACAGGGTTGTTTAACACCATGACGTCACACCCACACCTACACACCATGACGTCACACCCACACCTACACACCATGACGTCACACCCACACACCACGAAGCTTCATGTTGGCACACAATGACGTCACACACTCGTTTAAGTAGCTCACTGTCTCTCCCCCAAACAACCAGTGACCATATATACGTATATATATGTATATATATTATATATATATATATATGGGACATGACAAATAAAATCCCTGATTTCCTTTCTTTCTCTTTCTAATTTAAAAGAAACATCTGATAAGCGTTTTACAGCACTTGCAACACAATAAGACCATAATATAAGTGTCAGAGATTGGAGGTGTTTCAAGAGAGTAACAAACACAAAATAGGAGAGATAAGGACAACAGGACATTTGACAGGAGAGAAGGAGCAAACAACCCAAGAGCACCCACCAACCACCCATTTCTTCTTGAGCAATCTCTCACCACCAACACCCCAGCTAAGCCAAGGACAAATCCGTCAGTCCTGACCAGTTCTGCAGTCTTGTGTTTCAGCGACCACCACAGAACGTTCCAGAGACGCCACACGACAGACGCCACACGACGGACGCCACACGACAGACGCCACACGACAGATGCCACACGACAGACGCCACACGACACTGACTTTAACTGCCCCCCCCCCCCTATAAAGAGACGTTACAATCTCCCCTCCCAAAAAAACCAAACAAAACCCCCCACAAAAACAACATCCAAACACAAAACGTGGACACACTGTTCAAACTTTTCAAACTGTTCAAACTGTTCAAACACACGCACCCAGACAGCAACATTTGTCAGGGGAGAGAAACAAAACCCAAACTGTTTCTGTCTATTTACAAAAAGGACGTACATGAAAAATGAATGTAGTTTTCTGGCGGAATCTCCACATTCCACATCTGTATTTGAAAAACCATTTCTTGAGCACATGCAGCCGTACACCACTGATTGAGAAACAGCAACTTCAAATAAAAATACATGTATTCAAATAATGGAGCGTAATTCATTTTTTTTACAAAATAGTAAAAGTAGTGAAAACATCAAAGAAAAACCAAAATGACTGAGGTATGAATTCTGAGAGATGAAAACAGCACGGAGTGACAGAAGACACAGAGAAATAAACACACAGCAGCAGCAAACAAAACTGCTGACAATTGTACGCTGTGTTTTTCAGAAAGCCCCCC